GATGGTTCAAAGAAAGCAACACATCCGAAAGTTTATTGATTACTTTAGTTCTAAAACTTTTCAACTTTGACCTAAAATAAGAAAGGATTAGTTATTAATCTCAAGTTTGATTCTAACACTTTTATTTAATTAGATATCTTAAAGTAAAGTGGTCCAATCATCGCAACCTTCCCCAAAATAGATACACATAAAGATCAAAGGCACACTGAGATGCTTTCACATAAGTTTAGTCTAGATGGGCAATGCATATTATATGGTAATTTTTTATTCACGAGTTAAATTTATATTTAAAGTTATTGGGTACGTGAGTATAATATTGAAGATTGAAGATTGTTTTCATATTGCTGCCATTAATATTGAGAGTGTTATATAACTTGCTAACATATTAGACCACATCTACTACGCATTGCGGACACTTGGGATTAGTTTGGGTAACTTAACATTTCTGCGTCATGAATTCTATTTACAGTTCAGGTTACATCCCTTAATTTGACCTAACTATTTTATACTTAGGGCAGGTGTAAACTATTGACCACAACCATACCACACCGTCCCCTTTGCTTAATAGTAATAGCTGATTTATGAGTTTTATTAACTGTAAATTTATCAAACTGGTATTTATCGTTGATGTTGATCTACACACGACAGATTGTTGATAACTTAATCTTTTTATCGCTAATTTTACTACATACATATACTACATACTATATATCATTTATAGAGTTAATTAAGAGTCACGGATATTTAAAAGATTTTTTTTATTACTCTTTGGGAACGCTAAAGGAATTACGTTCGGCTACGAACCGTACTAACAAGCCTCTAGGGACTGTGGCAGATAAAGATACCTAAAAGTATTTCCCTACGTATTGGGTACGATAAAACCATTGCCTTAATGCGCCTAGGGACATCCCTTTTGGTTTCTAAATAGGCAAAGGTACCTAAAATTGCTAGAAATCAAATATTAATCTATAATTATTGAGTTTTAAAATCGGAGAAAGTAGAATCGTCCCGAATAAAGGTATGCGAATGCTCCTATAATAGGTTACGGGGCGGCACCGTGGCTGCGAAGGTTGCGTAATAGGCAATAGATGTTCGAGGGATGTTCGTTGGCTCGCCGCCAGTGAGCCGCCGACGTGACTCCACCACCCACCTACCTAAGAAACGTCAAGTGAGAGTTAAACATTGTACAAAAACTTATGAAACATTTAGTTGAATGTTAATTAAAAAACGAACCTGTCATCACTGATTATTTTCAAACTTGGAATGAATACGGTTGGAAACCATTATAATCAAACATTGTCAGTATGTATATGTCTTAAAATCTCGACATAGCAGTAAAATAAGAAGTCAATAGTCTAATTTAGACTATTTAGCTCAGAAAATATTCAAGTGGTACATTGCAATGAACCAGATAACCTATAATGTAATATATCGACAGGAATTATCTAACGCGGATGATATCTTGTGAAAACCTTCTAGCGTAATTGCAATACAGATAGTCAAAGCAAGCAATATATATTTCTTATGTTGTTGTAATAATCACATATTGGCATTTGCCGAAAAAAATTGTAGAATATGGGCTATTTGGACAAGTGTAATATTGTGACTGTGCTATATTGCCCCTTGTATGTAATAAACCAGAAGGGGCCTATTTGGCCCAGCAGTGGACTGTTATAGGCTGTTGATGATGTAATAATAATTTCGCTCATATTAAAGCAATAGGCTAAAAGGATCTTGATTCATTAATATCCACTGTATATTATTGATTCATTAATATCCAGTAACCAAACAAGCAGAATTACTAAAATGATTTTCGGAATATAGAACAAATATTAAAAAAAAAAAAAATCGAATCAACAGTGATTCATTTTTATTTTTATTTAATATTTGTTTCGGAGTTTAGGTGTTTTCTAGGTATAATATGTAAGTATTTAAAAAAAAAGTATTTAACTATTCCATCAGTCAATTTAACTTTCATAGTACAAGCTGTATTTAGTTTGAAACTATAATAGATGGCGTGTTGAAGATGTGTATCAGATATCTGATATTATTATTATTTGAAGAACCCAATTTTGTCCATTGCATAGAGGACTATTCGGTAAAGTTTTATCCACAGGCATAATTTCAACATATAGACAAAATAAAAGCTAAATAATAGGGGTTAAAGTATGAAATTGCCGTTACATAGCAATAGATACTTTGAATTGACAAAAAACTTTCATTTTCGTGTGAAACTTTTTCATAAGCTACCTATGAGGTCCTTCTTTAAAAAAAATGTGCAACATTCGAGTTTCGACTTTCAATTTTTTTTTGTCAGCTTAGACTTGAAAGATGGATACTTCTAAAATCCGAGTCATTTTTTAATACGAGTTTCGACGCGGAACTAACGTGGCAGATACGGCTCGCAATATCAACGCTGCGTTTGGAGAGGAGACTGATAATGAATGCACCATGCGTTTTTAGTTTAAACGCTTTCATAATGGAAACTTCGACTTAAAGAACGAACCACATGGAAGGCCGCCCACACAGGTAAGTAACGCTGAATTGAAGGAGATGGTGGAAGCCGATCCGAGTAAAACTACCCAGGAATTAGCGGCATGGTTTAACGTTACCCTACCTACAATATTGACTTCTTTGCATCAAAACAGAAAGATAAATAAAAATGAGAAATGGATGCCTCATGATTTGACTTATCTGCAGAAAGAAATGCCTTGTTGAATCAGTACCGAAATTAAGGAATATTGGATCGAATTGTGAGTGCCCCAAAGCAAAACTTACCAATAAAAAGTAATGGTAACTGTTTGGTGGTCTCTTCATGGTGTCATTCACGACAGCTTTCTCAGGTCTTTTCAGGTAATAACAGCAGATGTTTACTGTGCCGAACTTTGAACAATGATGGCGAAACTGGCTGTGAAACAGCCCCCACTCGTGAATCGATCTTCACTATTATTGCTCCATGGTAACGCAAGACCTTAAACTGCACGAGAAACCGTTGTAACTATACAGGAGTTGCAGTTAGAAACCATATGAAATGGGTACTATTTTTTTCGTGATTTGGACAATTTTCTACGAGACAAAAAAAAAATCTTCCCAGGAGGCAGTACAAAACGCTTTCACACAGTTCGTCGAATCTAGATCCCCAGAGTTCTATCGTAAAGGCATAAATGAACTACCGTTTAGATAGCAGCAATAAATATTAAATAAATATAGCAAGTAAATATTTTGATTAAATAAATATGTTACATCTTAGACAAAAAAAAAATCAGTCAGGTGTTCTGCTGTTTCGTCGCCACAAGGTTATCCAGGACTTTGTTCAAGGTTTTCTTTTATGACGCCACAAAAAGGTCATAATACGAGTATGTCTGCTTACTTTGGTCTGAGTTGAGTAATTAAGGGCTTCGATTTAGAGTCATATTTGCTTAATGAATGTCACAAACAACGTCGCACGTCGTACACCATCATTATCACCAACATAGACCTCTACTTAGACCTTTCTAAGGTTTTGGCCTACTATACCACTCTGGCCAAATGGATTGGTATCGGGTTTGTTTCAAGTTTGCCTTCTCTTTGCAGTGCTGTTGTCCTGCGTAGTTTGCTCTATTAATCAGCACTTACGACACCCACGGGATGAATAGGGGTCGTGACACTCTGTATTCTTAATCCGTCCACACACGGACAATATGATGGATTTTCGTCGTCATCTTTCTTTCTTTAAAAGAAGACAATTCCCGCATTAGGAATATATCCTGTGTCGCGGGGGAGTTTACAAACATAAAAGAAACGGACACAAAGAACGTACGTCGTACACATGATAACAATGTGTCACTTATCGCACATGTTACGATATTTAAATTCCATTTAACTTCGGCATCAAAATAAATAGAATACATTCATTGTAGTTATGACTTCATTTAGTACCTGACCTCGGTTTTTTAGATTAATTTTGCCACCGAAGCCTTTGGCACGTATGCTTCCAAAGATAACACTTAATGACTGACCTTTGGTCCCCGACAAGGGCCGGTATAAATTATTCTAAATGTCACCTCACTCAAAGCCATGCCTGGAATAAAATTAAAAACAATTCTTAAATTACTTTTTAGTGTTGATGGTTTTCATAAATTTTAAAATTTACTTCTTTATAATCTCTTTATGAGTTCTCTTTGATACTAATTGTACTAGCAATCTAATGGAATAGTAATTAATATTGCGTTGCCGCGAATATTGTTAACAACTGCAAACAGATTTAAAAATTCTCTTAAAAGTATAATTTGAATTATCTTTTTTCATATTAAACTTTTCATATTATTCTTTTTTTGATACGACCTTCAAACCTTCAAGAAAAGAGCGTACTCCTTCCTAAAAGTGTGTGACTCCTGAGTTGCAGACGTTCATGGGCGGCGATAGTCACTTTCCATAAGGTGACCCGTCTGCTCGTCTGCCCTCTAAAATAAAAAAAAAAACAGTAACTTCCGGGAAAAGACAAATTGTAGCATTATAAACGCACAGGGTTAGTACCGATATAGTTGGTTAAATAAAGTGCCAGGCGTAAAAGAAAGTAACAAAATATTTAAGAGTACATTGTAAATACAAAATTGATAAAATATATTTATTTAAACGAAATCTCAAATAGTTACGCATGTTACTTCTGCGTAATCAACACTTTTACGGTCCCTTTGCTGAGCGTTCAGAGAAGACCTCCATTCGTTTTTAAAGAAACTATTACGATAGTCAGGAATTAATTAACATCTACTTTCACGGCAAAGGACTGACATGAATAGACCTTACTGAAGTATCAGACGAATTCAACTATTAACTGTTCGATTAAAACATATTAATCGCTTGAGGTATGTGGTTAAGACATTATATTTAACAAAATCATCATCATCATGTTTATGACGCCTATCAAATTCTATATCAAGTTTAATTACCTTAGAATGTAGGCAAATTAATTATTTAGGGAACAGTCTATTCGTCTCATTTCTCAGTACAACAAGGCACAAATGCTAAAGCGATCAAGGTCTATGAAATCTAACAAGCAATCTGGTTTACACGATGAAGATGTGTGTAAACCAGATTCTTTTTAATACATTCATATTTTGAATAGTCTTTGAGCGAGATTCATTATTTGAATGAGTCTAAGAAAATCCGGTACATTAAGAAGGTAAAATGTGAAATACTTTCCATTTACTGGTAAGCATGGCTTTTACCTATTTCAACTTCGGTAATATAAGTACTTAATCGGCAGTTTTACCCCGCTCGAACGAAACCTTCCAATATTTCACATTTTAGTATATCCCTTCTTCGGTCAAATCAAAATAAATACCCGTAGAAAGAAATGGGCCTTCTGTGAGTATCACTTTCTCAAGTTATCGTTATAAAAGTATACTCTTTCAAATATTTAATATTTTTGTGATTTTACATGAATAAAGATTGATTCGTGGTTGAGTTTCCATAATAGTACTGTATGTACTGTAATAGTACTAACTGGCATTGTAAATCATGATAAATTAAGATAGTACTTTGGGGTATCCGATTTCATATCATAAGTTAACTTATATTCACTGCACGGATGGCGTAGTTGTTTAAGCGGTCGCCAGGCCGCTTCCTACTACGCTGAGTGTTGTGGGTTCGATCTCCACATGGGACGACACTTTGTGTGATCCACAAATTGTTGTTCTGTGTCTGGGTGTTCTTTGTGTCCGTTTCATGTATGTTTGTAAAGTCCCCCGCGACACAGGATTTATTCCTAATGCGGGAGTTGTCTTTTTAAATAGAAATAGAAATATTGATTCAAAGTTTTGGCTTTCCGTGCTTCTACTACACTACTCTGTGCCTGAAATTGATCTCTAATGGGCACAATGAATTGGGACCAATGAATTCTTTTCCCATGTTAATACATATGATTCACGACCCTTAATTTTTTCTTAAAAACCTATTATTAATAATACATAAAACAACACGGTAACAAGTGCAAACTCAACGCAGTACATTTCCAACGTTACCTATTCGATTTGCCAGACCGGAAAGGGTAGGTAAGCAGAAGGTAGACGAGCTACTCATCCAATCTAGAGTCTTAAAACAGAACAAACTTACTTTTTCAAACTTCTGACCTGATCTGCTTCAACTGTTTGCTGCTAAATCACGTACGAATGTTACCAGTGTGTCACACACCACGACATCGTGATATTTTTGCGTTTATTCTATCTGCTGGCTGGTATATTTATGGTCATTTATGCGTAGAAGGGGGTAAATGTTGCTATGATTAGATTTAGATTTGATCGAAACGTGTCCGTGATAGAAAAAAGTACTCTAAAATAATAGCATTTTTCCTCATCAATGACTAAACTTTTTATGGTTTTTCTTTATAATATTTTATACCTTTAAAACCTCGATAAATTATTTTATTATAGATTTATGATTTTATAGCATTTTTGATGGTTCCAATTCCTTTTTCAGCAGGATCCTCCGCCCTACCACACAAGCTGTTCACCTTACCGCATTTATTCTGTAAAGAACGTTGACATCTGCTACGGTTGCAGTTGCAGATTTCCCGAGGTAAGTTCACGTGTATATTTATCTTGTAAATAAAGTAAAAAGGAACAGGTTAAGTAAATACCTTATAGCAAGAAAAGAAAAGCAATATTTCCTGCAAAGTGGTTTAGGTTGTATTTACTTAAAACCAGTTTTCTTGTTACGGATCCAGAGAAAGCATCACTTTAAGGATAAAGTTGTCCGGTTTTGTTATAAACTAGTTTATGTAACTACGTAACTAGCTTCTATTATTTATGTTACAGTATTATGTAATGTGTATTTAGGGAGAACTTAAAATAAGATGATACATAGAGAATACAATACAATAATCTGTTTATGCGGTCCCGAAAATTACGTAATCAAAGTCATTAGCATTGTACATATTAAGATGTAGCAATTATGTATAATTAGTAAACATTATATTTAATCATTAATAAAGTAACATGGAGGAAAACTCAGGTATGGAATACAAGTCACGATAGTTTGTTGCTCTTAAAAACATTTATATTTACAAAAAACATGACATTGGTAAGCTAAGCTATTCAGATGTTGAAAGTCTACATGGACTCCTCGCTATATTCATATACCTACAAAGGGATCGACTAGTACCCACTTAGCTCCTTTGTGACAGTAGTGTGTTTTTGTCATTTTTACGACTCTCACAGCTCAGACTCTCTCAGAAAGAAAATATATTTCGAAACCGCAGTTCGTCCGGTATGGCGTCCCTCAGGGAAGCGTACTGGGACCGCTGCTTTTCTTAATATATATCAACGATTTACCAAAATGTACAGAGCAACAAATGGTCCTCTTCGCTGATGATAGCACATGTGTCATCAAATGCTCTGACTTAAATACTTATAAAACTGACATTGATAACACATTGCATAACATAATAAATTGGCTTGAAAAAAACAACTTAGTAATAAATCTGAATAAAACAAAAATCATGCATTTCCATCAAAGGTGTAAACCTAATGTTCATTTACATTTTAAAAATTATGAAATTGAACAAGTACATGAGGCCAGGTTCTTAGGAGTAACAATCGATCACCAACTTAATTGGAAGGCGCATGCAGAACAGGTGTGTAAACGGCTTAGTAAATCTGCGTATTCACTAACACAGCTGTCGAAGAAAGTTAGCAATGAAGTTCTGTTAACTGCGTATCATGGGATGATAGCTTCAATTTTAAGATTTGGAGTTATATTTTGGGGCTATTCAACAGACCGAGAGCTTGTTTTTAAAATGCAAAAAAAATGTATTAGAGCTATGTGTAGATTAAAGTCAACAGACAGCTGTGTACAATACTTTAAATTGCTAAAACTATTGACATTTCCTTCTTTATATATATTTGAGACTACTGTGTTCGTTAAAACTAATATACATCTCTTTGAAAATCTATCGAATACTAGGCGAGGTCCTGTGCGCGCTCAATATGCCAATAAATTATGTCAAGTAAAATGTACAACAACGCTTATGCAGAAAAGTTTTTATGGTATGGCCCCAAAAATCTTTAATAAATTACCTGACAGTATTAAAAACTTACAGTTGAGCCAATTAAAGAAAGAACTACACAAACTGCTCATCAATAATTGCTACTACAGTGTAAATGAGTTTTTTAATGACATATTATTGTAATGTTCAATTTCTTACTCATGAAATTTACTACTCCAGAATATAAGAATCTCATATTAATGATACTGATAATAACTATATCTGTTAATATTGTGAAATGCATAATGTTTTTTCTATATTTAATTCTTTTCTATTAATTTATTATAATAATTCGAGGATTGACATTTAAATAATTAATTTACTTTTCACAATTTATTTGTAAAGACCAAATACGATTAATAATTAATGAATTTATGATATATGGATAATTGACTTGTATTTCTATAACTCTAAGAAGGACATTTCATTAATTTAATATCCTAAATATATATTATTATTTTAATATATTTTTTAACTTTATAATGTTTCAGTGTCAATCCTGATTCTGATCTTGATAAATTACACTGTATAATTTTGCATGCCTTACGGTAGAAGCACTTGAAACCTGTAAATTTTTTTTTGAACACCACAGTGTTTTCTGCAAAATAAATAATTTGAATTTGAATTTGAATGATTTAACAGATAGCTGAACATACAAAAATAAATTAAAACATTCAAGTGTGGATTCACGAAAACATTTATTTTAAACATGTGGAATGTGTTTCATTACAGAAACGAATGTCTTAAAAACCTTGGAATGAAGAAATATTTGCATTCCTTTAGTTGCGTTAAGGAATCAAAACCATTCTGTCTAATGACTGTTCTAAATATTTCCTTTAGTAGAGAGTTTGACCTAAACCGTGATAAGAATTTTGAAAATTATCACTTAAACCAGAAGTCCTTATATTATAAATAACCATAACATAATAGTGAACTAAACTGAAAATGTCTTTATTTAATAAAAAAGATTATTTGAAATCGTCTTCGACTCTGAAGTGATAGATCAACACACATTATTTTGTCAAATGTTTAGAAAAATGTAGTTAATCCATTTTATCATCGTCATCACCCTATCGCAGTCCACTGCTGGATATAAGCTTCTTTCATTACACTGCATTAATCCATTATATGCCTGTGCCGACCTACAAACACATATTTAAAAGGCTTAAACCTTATGATAAGAAAGGGCAAACAAACTCACGGCCACTCTTTTTTTATAACAGCTAGATACAGTCGCATCATTAAATATTTTTGTGATGTTTAGTAATGTTAATAACAGTAACAATCCCTCGCGTGTTAATATTTATGTGATGTATATCTTAATGTAGACTAGATTGCGATAATATTTACAGGGTACATTTACGCTCAAAAAGAAGTATACGTGTACAAGCACATTTGCAATGTGTACATCCAGTATGTTAAAATCCTTCACACATTTGCAATGTGTACAACCAGGATATCAAAAATAATATCTACATCTATTATTTAATAACGACGTAAACAAATGCGACGAATTGAGTATATCACACTAAATTCCTTAACCAATGAACAGTTGGTGTCAAAGATGACGAATACCTAAATATAAAAAATTAGAATTCATTTGAAAACATTTTAATGAAAACTGAAATATAAAAAAAAATAAGTATTAAATTTTTTTCCAAGCACCCACTCAAACACAAATAAATAATGATTGGTACACAGTTCAAAGAGTTATATACGATACATATAATATATACTCAATACAACACCGTCCCTCTTCACGCATTTGAAGTTCACTCCACCCAGTTTCCGTAATAATTCTTTTGATTGAACCTTTACAGTCCAAAGACTTTCCTTTCTACACGTAGAACAGTTAAATGAGATACTGCCATAGCCGCATTTGGAGAGTGTAAGCTTCTATTATAGATAAGGAGTTTAAGTTGAAGGTCGTAATCTTCAAACCTTCAATAAAAGAGCGCAACTCCTTCCTAAAAATCCTGCAAAGCGTTTGTGACTCCTGAGTTGCAGACGTTCATGTGCGGCGATGGTCACTTTCCATCAGGTGACCCGTCTGCTCGTCTGCCCCCTCTAACATAAAAAAAAGTATATTTGTGGTTGAACAACAAAGTGAAAAATTATATATGCTGGCTTCGAGAACCTACTCGGCCATTTGAGTTTCCACAAGCTTGGATAGTACGTGTATAATGTAGCACATATGGTCGTTTGATCTTGTTATTTGTAATCTTGATTCTAACAGAAGCCTACCATAAGTTTTCTAAATTTTAATGAAACTGAAGGTATCATGTGTTGGAGAAGTACGCTCTTTTCTTGAAGGTTTGATGCTCGTATCGGTCTGGAAATACCGCAGCCGATAACTTATTTCACATATTGGTAGTGCTAGGCAAAAAGTGTTTTGAAAAGCGCCCAGTGGTAGAGTTATCCAAGTGGTAGGGATGAAAATTTTGCCGTGTGGAACGATAGCGAAAGGTCGCGGCCGGTATTAGTCCGAACAATTCCTTGGAGCACTCCATGATATATACGATAGAGAAAGCAGAGCGAAGCTGCATCTCTACGTAACGTAAATGGATCGAGCCGGTCGCAAATCTTTTGGCTATCGACGATTCGAGTCACTCTTCTTTGGATTCGGTCCAGAGGGAGAAGCTGGTACTGTGGTGCCTTTGCATTAATTTCTTGAATCACTTAAATAAATTAGTTCAAATCACAGAAAGAATCTCTGAAAGAGGATACATAAATGGGACCCCTTAATGGCGAGTCCATGCGTACCACCACTTATATTCTTACCGATTTCAGTTATCTTGACCGCTTAAGTCACGTGTTTCGAGTTCTGCTCCCGCTCTGCTCTGCTCTGATACAGTAAATACTTGCGCGCTCGCAAGTATTTGTTGTATCCTGGTGAGGAATATACGGCCACATTTAGGACGCGTTAAAGTAATGATAATAGCTTTGTGCATCTAATAATATTTAGTTAGATAGCTGTTGAGTTCAACGATATATTATTATCCTCCTAGCTCCTAGCTCCCGCTATGTCTTACTATCTAAATTTTTATATTATATCTAAATTACAACTTTGTAGCTAGTTTCTCAATAAGACACAATTATACGTATCTAATTGAATAACGTAATAAGAACGAATTCTCATTGGTAGTGTGAGGGGTATAACTAATAAGTGTAATTTAATATTTGGTTGGTCAATTCTCAGTAGCCACTCAAGTGTAATAGTAGGTATAGCACTTACATGGGTTTGTTTTCTATGAAAACATGACCCACGAGTGAACGAACATAGGTATTAAGTAAATATGAGATAAATAGATTGCCATGTTAACTTTCATGGCCCTATATGATATTTTCGTGTCAACCCTCATTTGCTTTTCTATTTTGTTGACCAAGGGGCGGCAAAATAGAGCGGTCAGGGTGTCCTGGGATCTGTGGCCCACAGGCCGCGACCACATCAACCCTGTCTTTCTCAAGCTTTCGAAACTCATTCACCACAAATGTCAATTACTTGAAAAGAAGGTAAGTCAGCATGGCCCCTTCCTGTCAGATGAAACTAAATGTATGTATGCATGTTTTAATCATTTAATAGCTTTTTTCAGCGACTCGTCATCTAATGTTTCGATGTAACCTACCTTGACAGAACAGCTGTCGTTTTGGTTAACTGAAATTTAATTATTTTTAACTACATTGATTGAGTCCTGTATCGTAAAAGCCATAGAAAACTGCTTTTATTAAAGCCTGTATTTAGTACTATGTAGTTCACATGAATAATAATCTAGGTAAAAAAACTCACAAAAAATCTGTATGTATGATATATATAAAAAAAGTTTATAATTTGAGGATAAAACAAAATTTATGACACCGTAAAAAGCCCGAACCGCTTCACCGCGCTGCTTCCACCCCTCTGTGGCACTCAACCCCAACCTCCCAAGCGTCCACCTTATCCCGCCCCACCTCGCCAGCTCCCTGTTACCGCCGGTCCACTTTACATACCGTGTAGCACCACTCATCAGCCTCGACTATTTGTATGTGATCACATGAATGCTGATAAAGGTACCTTTCTCAAAAATTAATAACTCTGAAGTATCCTCATTCAGTGCATGGCGCTTTTCTCTCTCGATGGCACTGTTGTGATTCGATGTTGCCGCTTTTCAAGACCCGTCGTTCCTAGTAGGATGTTGTATTACATCGTTCAACAGAAATGTTTACTCAATAAGAAACAATTAGTTTTTGAGCACGATAGAGATCGATTCTTTTAAATTCGCTTAAGTGGCAGTTTTAACGTTGGTGTTCAGAATATTGGTTAGTTAGGTGACAATGAGTGGCTACATTGTGTATGTCGATTTGTCCCTCCTCTGCGTGTCCCTGTAACCTGGCGCGGCGTGGCGGTGGCGTGCGGCGAGTAGCTCAGTGGAGGCGTTGCGCAGATTCAGCTCGGGGGATCTACAGTCCGAGTGCGATGAGGGCGAGGTGGATCCTTACACCGGTCAACCGACCACCACTAGCCAGCCGAAACCGCAGAATCAAAGGCCGGCCTCCCAGGGTAAGTTTCTGTATTTCCCCTTGATAATTGTTAGATTATTAACTTGTAATGTGTTTACTGTAGATAATCTGTTTAGTTGGTATTTTTCTGTTTAATTTAGCCTAGAATTCAGAGTTCTTATTTAGAGAGAAATATATGTATAAGGACAGTTATACATATATAATCTAATCATCATTGTTATTTGTATAAACGAAATTTTCCTAATTTCTTAGGTTTATATGAGAGTATGAGTAAATGTATATATAAAGAAATGAGTTCACTTTTGGTAAACTTATTCGAATTTCTTTAGTATTAAATAAATTAAATTAGTAAATTTTAAGCCCTTATGATTGATGATAGACATCTGCATTATGATTATACAAATTATATTTGATAACAACTTCTGTTGCACGTAAAATTCCTGTGAGGACTATTAAGTATATAGAAGTGATCATTTCGTTTAGCCACCGGGGGGAGCATTGGAAGCACTACATCCGGGGGTCCACCACCGGCTCCATCTGCAGCAGCCGCCGCTGCTGGGGGGGACTTATCTTTGAATTTGCGAGGTGGATCGCGTGGAACATCTGCACCTTCATCACCAGCGAAGTCACGCGAGTCACTGCTCCAACGTGTACAATCCCTCACGGGTGCAGCTCGCGATCAAGGCGCCAATTTACTAGGTAATTAAAATAGGCAGCTACATGAGAATTTACGCTGTCATTGAAGCCTTTTACAATTAGTTTTTATTAACGTTAGTTTATTTGTTTAAAAATTTAAATTTAAAAAAAAGTTCGTGTAAATAAGAGAAAAATGTAAAATAAAAGCAAACTATGATACATACATGTTGATATATAATGGTGACATGCTTTATTTATATCAGGGAGCGTAACATCGGTGGCATCGGTAGGCCGTGGATACAACCGTGATCGATGCGTGACGCTACTGGTCGTTGACGATCAGAACACCGACTGGTCTAAGTATTTCCGAGGTCGCCGCCTTCCAGGCGAATGGGACATTCGCGTTGAACAAGCCGAGTTTCGGGTGAGTGTAACTAAATACAACATGATATGTTATTTTCTTGGGTACAACTACTACGGAACAATATCCTTCTCACCTGTCGCCTTTGTACAGCTTTTATTTGCCGTACTTCACAACATAATATTGTCTATATCTTACTAAAATCTACATGTTACTTGGCAAGCAAATTTATTTTTCTGTGCACCTACATCTACAAAAATACCATTCTTCAAAATTATACTTACTACCTTCCGCCCGTAGCTTCGCCGGTATGAAGTTCGGTAACCGTGATCCTTTTTTCGCTCGGTTTATATAGTATAAGTTTTTTTGCGACCTTTTTAACAATAATTGTTATATTTCAGTCAATTTACAGAAAGCCATCATAAATTATACACTTAAACCTTCCTCAGGAATCACACAATCTCTTGGTAAAAACAGTACAAAAATGCCTTTCGTAGTTTTTGAGTTTATTGCGTTCATACAGGCAGGCAGATAGTTCAGGCGGGTAATAAAAATCATAATGATGTCCCCACAACACTGAATCAATTATGCAGAATGTACCACAGAATAGGTTTAATAGGGCAAACAACTTTTGTAATATTCATACGACCAACTTATGTCAACATGCAACGTCCTGAGTTCTCCCTACTTTGTTAATAATTAAACACGCTTTTGTTCCCAGGGCCATGAAATCTTTCTTAATAACTGGTTTATTAAATGTTAATTATGGTGTCAGAATTAATTGTTTAAGTAAACTGTTACACAGTGTAGATTCGTTGTTACTTCCAAATTATCTTTTTGGTTTACATATAAATCATGTTAAGAATTATTTCAGTTCATTTTAAGAAAAAGCCTTTTTTATAATTTTTACTCACTAAGTAAGTTATCTATTTGGCTATAATTTTATCTAATCTTGAGTATTTGAGTATATGTTGTAGAACTGGACAAAGTAATTGTTTCGTTGATACTAAACAAATTCGGGGAATTTGGAGATATATACATAACAGGTTAATCCAGTAACTGTCCTATTTAACCCTCTGAATTACTATTGGTTATTTTTAACAGGAATTGACAGTGACCGCTAATTCTGACGGTGCTAATGTGTCTATGGCCGTTTATCGCAGCGGCACAAAAGTCACCAGATGCTTTAAGTAAGTATTAAAGTTACCGATACATAATTGTAAAGTTGTATCTTGCTATTGCATTATATAAAGGCTCCCCGACTTCAACACTCATGTTGTTAAAGGATTTTCGAAGTTCGTCAAAGCAAGACCTTCGAGAACGGTAAAAACAAAATTGTTAATACATTGTACAAATATGAAAATGTATCAAATCTGCGACAAGAGAAGATAAACATTTAATGTATTTGTAAATCTAAAGCTATATATTGTGTATCTCGGTTTGAAACCATATGCTTGAGTTGTTTTCATTTAGATGTGGTCTCGCTTCATTATTTACATTATAATAGACGTCATAAAACAAAGGTATTTAAACTTGTATGTAACATTTCCTATGAGGGTTTTAAATTATTAGTTTTTATTGTTATCGTAGGCTACAAGGTATCATGTAGGTATCTACAGTCTACATCTTCATAATGATGTATATGTATACTCATATGATTTGAGATCTGTTAAACCAATTATTTATCTCATCATCGTCATCATCCTCAATTTCGTTATAGACTTAGGAGCTGGTGCTCATACAATAGTCTCCACCTTTTCTGGTAATAGTGTAACACTCTGTTTACAAATAATATGTCCTAAGAATTTTATCTCATTACATAAACTCCAAATTGTAACCTAGTTAGTCTGTACAATCCTAAATGCGAATTAATTGTCATTTATTCACCTGATGTTGCATCTAATTACAATTGCTGGTATGCTCCAGTTAAATCTAAAACACAAAATCATAGGCGGCGATGGTCACTTTCCATCAGGTGACCCGTCTGCTCGTCTGCCCCCTCAAACATAAAAAAAAAACACTACCTCCCGTTAACTCTGAAAAAATGTCTTCTGGTATTGGCAATGGATAGTGCTCAGTTTCTAGTACTTGGTTCAGTGTAACTTTATAATTAACACACACACACGGAACTTTTTATCATTTCCTTGCGCTAGAACTATTGGACTAGCCCATTTACTATGTCTTACTTTAACTAAAATACCCACCTTCTCTAAGCTAAGTAACTCTTTTTCAACTTCCTCTTTTTTGAGTATGGAATTATTATACATAATACTGGAATGGAATGGTATAATGCTTTGTGAAAACTAAGTTAAGTTTGAGACTAGCCTGTAATTTTAAAATATGAGATGATCTATCATTTTCAAAGACTTTCATATACTTATTTTTGACAATTGAAACCATTTGTTTTGTTTGGAGATTTAGTGAATTAACTTGTTTGATTTTAAAATACTGATAGACTCTCATTCTGTCGATCTGTTTTTGTTTAACCAGTTGCATCTTGCTCTCCCAATTGCCTTAATACATTTTTATCTCCATCAGAACGAAAATGACACTTTACAGCTATGTGTCCTTGTCTTTGACAGTTGTTGAGTCCACAGTTTTTTTAAACATTTATCAGGAGTGTGGTTCCCTCCACATCTACTGCATCCTCCAAATTTATGTGTATTTAGTCGTCGGTAACTTTGGGTTTTGCACTGGCCTTTCTACACGGTTTTGCACTATTTGTAAACTTCCCTTAGGTTGTATGTTTTTTGTTTCTATTTCGGCACTCTTATAAGCTGACGCCATCTTTGCTGCTTCGTCGAAAGAAAGGTCACCAACGGTTAACATTTTTTTTGATGAGCTCCTCATTCGACAGTCCGCACACTAAGCGATCTCTTAACGCTTATTTAGAAATGATCCAAAGTTATAAGAAGCAGCCCTTCTATTAATTTCAACAATATAATTGTTAACAGTTTGTCTTCCATTTTGTTTGCAGTTTTAAATTCGTAACAACCGGCTATTGCTGATTTTTAATACGCTTTTTATTATATATATATATTTATTTTATATATATTATATTAGCTTCCGTTTAGTTTGTAACCGACTCCTTTGTGCGTGATTTTGACTGACTTTAAACGGTCAGAATTCGTTCAAACTTTGTAGATACCGATATATCGAGGACCGATGACAATACACTAATTTAAAAAAATAATTAAAAAGCTTAAGTGCTTTTTACTACTGACAAAATGCACCCAACGCTTTTTTCAAATTTATTTTCTATTTTTTAGTTTGGTTTTCTATAGAAAGCGTGTTTTTTAGTTTTATAAAACTATATTTTTTTTTATTTTTACTACCTAGTATTTGGTTAATACCTCCATTAACTTCGTATATGTTTGGGTGTTGGTGTAACTAGCGACACTATTTTATATATTTTTTAACACGTTATATGTTTCTGGCCCCATAAACGTGATGAACATCTTTACTTTTACTTCGTCCTTGAAGCTATTTACAATGAAAACTTGTTCCATTCTTTCTCTATAGTCTCTAAAATCATGTTTTTCTAGGTTGAGTTGCTCAATACCTCCAATTAACGCCATTTTCCTCGTCGCCAATTTTGTTTATTAGAATATTACACGTATTTAATACTCAACAGCCTTTAATAGTCCACTCCTGGACATAGGCAGAAAGGAGGTTTTGGCCGACTATACCATGCACGTAAGTTTGGTATAGGGTTTGTTTCAAGTTTTCCTTCTCTTTGCAGAGCTGTTGTCCTTCGTAGTTTTCTCCCTTAGTCGACTTATACGACATCCACGGAATGAACAGGGGTGGATATCCAGTAAAAAGTACTGTTCAAAAGAGTTCAATCCGATGATTTACAAAATCTGCAATAACGTTATTGAAGCCAAAAGTTTAAGACAAAAGCATAATGTTGCATGAGATGTGTGTAAAATATGGACTAAAAAATATTTCTGCTTCGGTCTAGGCCGGACTTCGTGTTGGTTAGACACAATGTGAGGGACGCTGGCGCTGACTATCGAGCCTTACTCCTTGGACTTAAGTTTGGAGGAGTACCTTCCATCAACAGCCTGAATTCCATCTACCACTTCCAGGTAACAAACCTTCGTAAAAATTTCAGATATTTGTTTTTTTTTTTTTTTAAGTCTTTGGTAAAGAGTCTTTAACGAATATTTTTTCTTATTAAATTCGTTCACTACCAAGCTGAAATAAATACACTAAAAAACGACTTTTCCAATACACAATCTAGTTACAATTGCCTACCAACACCCTAGGCAATTATGAAATGGGAAATTCGTTTTTAGTGTTTTTGTCGACCTTGTTGTCTATTATAGGTAGTAGGCCAAAACCTCCTTTCTAAGGAGAGGCCTATGTCCAGCAGTGGACTAGTAAGGGCTGTTGTTGATGATGATGATGTTGTCTATTATTGTGTATTTTTTATTCAGGATCGCCCTTGGGTGTTCGGCCATCTTCTTCAACTGCAGCGACGTCTTGGTAGAGAAAACTTCCCTCTCATTGAACAAACTTACTACCACAATCACACGGATATGGTAAGTACATAGTTTTTAGTAGAGACTATCATTTCATTATATTTTTGTCAATTGTGTCTTTATTAAAAATTCTATATAAAAGGGTAAGAGAACATAACAGTATAATACCGTAAAACTATCTTTTTTTTTGTTTTTTTTTGAGTTTTATACAAAAAGTACTACTTTTCTTCATGTATATATTTCCAAGGTGTCCTTCTTTCAAATTAGTTGTCACTGATTGTCAGGGAAATCGTCAGCTCTTTTACTCCCAATATCATAACATAAAGTATGTTTTCACCTATTAGCTCTAGAAAATTTCTGTCCATCTACTGCGAATTTAAAAAACAAAAAGATAATAAACAAACCAAAAAATCTTAACATATACATTCATATTATACATATACACTCACATCTGTATTGAACGTAGTATCTACTCACGCAATAGGTTTTTTTTTTTGAGAAAATGGTCATATATGTAAAGGTAAGCAAGAAGGAAAAGCAATAGAAGGAAAAGGATAATGATAATACTCTTCATCAGCAATCTTTTAATAGTCCACTGCTCGATATACTACTATACCACGATGGCCAGACGGGTTGGTGTAGGGTTTACTCGTGGGATTTATCATGGAAAACATTAAGTCAAACCAAAATAAAAAGCGATCGAAAACAAATACACAACGAATAAAGGCAAGCAAAACGGACACTGAAACGAAGGGTGCAAAGGAGAAGAGGAACAGTGGAGCGGATGGGTCGTCCACTGAGGGTGAGATGGTGTCAGGAACGCCTATCTCGATGGGGTTCCCAGAGGTCAGTCTGACTCTGGTCTCTGGGAGCCGAAGGGCATCGGATCGTTTGCGTTCCGGATCCGCCGTTTCATCGGATGGCGCGGACGCCATGGAAGCGGAGCGGAGCGACAGCCGGAAACGCGGACGCTCCAGGGAAGAGGGGACCGACACGTCCGGCGAAATGATGCCACCAAAGGTGGCAAGCAGCCGCCGAGGGAGGGCACGTAAACCGGCCTCGGTCTCGACCCCGTCAGGCTCCGCCTTCTCAAACGCGGAGTCCTACAGGAGCGTACGAGTGGACGGCGAGGCCGTAGCGGAGGAGGAGATCGCGGATCTCCTGCTCAAGGTTCGGGAGCCGGTGGGGGGAAATGCCCCCCAGGCGCCGGCCAAGGCACCGGCTAAGGCGCCGGCCAAGACGGGGCCCAAAACAGCGCCGAGGAGCGGAGTGGCATTCCCTCCGCTCCCCACTCCGACACCCCTGCCGGGCCCCTCCGCACCTGCCCCCTCCAACGAGGGTTGGCAGGAGGCGAGGGGCTCCAAGAAGTCCCGAAGGCGGGCCAGAAGGGCTGCCCAAAAAGCAGCCCAAGCCCAGCCTTCGCCACCGGTGGCAACGGCCTCTGCAAAGAGGCCGCGGAAGCTGCAGCCGCCCAAAACCGCGGCTGTAGTTGTGACCGTGTCCCCGGAGGCGGCTGACGGCGGGCTGTCCTACGCGGCCGTTTTTAAAAAGGCCCGGGACAGCCTCGCCAACGACTTTGGGACGGTGGGGGTCAAGATGCGCCTTGCCCAAACGGGAGCTCGAGTTCTCGAGTTCCCAGGGGCCGAAGGCGCCAAGACGGCGGACACTTTCGCCGAGAGGCTGCGGGGTTTATTCGCGACCACGGATGGTGTCAAGATCGCCAGGCCTACCAAGTGCGCGGAGCTGCGCATCTCGGGCCTGGACGACTCTGTGACGGCCGAAGATGTCCGCGCTGTAATCCGGGAGAAGACGGGGTGCAGCGCGGACAACGTCAGGGTCGGCACCATCCGCCCCCGGTCCAGGGAGGCTTGGCGCCGTGTGGGTCAGCTGTCCCGTAGCGTCGGCCAAAGTATTGGCCGACGCCGGCAGGCTGCTCATCGGTTTCGTGAGCGCCAGGATCACAGTCCTGGCGGCGAGACCGATGAGGTGCTACAAATGCCTAGCATCGGGACGCATCGGGACACAAGTGCGACAGCTGTTTTGACTGCGGCGGACTGTGTTTCCGCTGCGGTCAACCGGGGCATAAGGCGGCAGAATGCTCTGCCGCCCCTCACTGCCCAGCGTGTGCGGCGGGCAATAAGCCCGCCAATCACCAGATGGGGCAGAGAGGCTGCAAGCCTCCCCGCAGTTCTCGGCAGACGTCAGGGGCTAGCCAGTCGACCCAGGCTACCCCCGACGTCAATATTGCGTCGACGCCGTCGCCCATGGAGGAGGTTGTAGAGACGATCCAGTAATGGATCAAGTCTCCAACCTCCTGGTCCAGACGAACCTGAACCACTGTGCCGCGGCGCAGGATCTCTTCCTGCAAACCATGGCACAGTGGTCGATAGGTGTTGCCGTAGTCGCGGAGCCCTATTCTGTCCCTCCCCGTCCAAACTGGATGGGTGACTGGGACGGCTCCGTGGCAGTCGTCGGTTCCACGACGGCTCATTCCCCGCCCTTGTCGCTAAGAGACAAAGGCACTGGATATGTTGCCGTCGAGTGGGGGGGATCACCATATATGGTGTCTATTTCTCCCCCAACCGGAGTTTGAACGACTTCGAGGTTTTCCTAACCAGCTTGGAGACCTCGATACGGCGACTAGCGTCTGGGCACGTCCTTGTGCTGGGGGACTTCAACGCAAAGTCCATTGCGTGGGGTTCCCCCAGGACGGACGCAAGGGGCGAGGCCGTAGAGGAGTGGGCGGCCTCGGTGGGCCTCTGTCTCCTCAACAGAGGCTCCACCAACACGTGCGTGCGACAGCAGGGGGGGTCGATAGTGGACCTTTCGTTCGCTACCCCTGCCCTCGCCGCACGAGTAAGGAACTGGTGTGTCCTGGAAGAGGTTGAGACGCTCTCGGATCACCTGTATATCCGATTTGAGCTCTCCCGGACCCAGGACTCCAGTAGGGGTCACGTGGCGCGGCGTTTATCCCGCTTTCCGCGGTGGGCTGTTGCCAGACTGAACCGGGACCTACTAGAGGAGGCAGCCATAATTCACTCGTGGCTGTCTCCTCAGGCTCCGACCGAGGAGGTCGACGTGGGGGCTGGTCGCTTTCGCGATGCGATTACGCATGTATGCGATGCGGCCATGCCCCGCGTTCGAGGTCGTCGGCCTCCAAGGAAGGAGGTCTACTGGTGGTCCCAGGAGCTGGCGGACCTTCGTGCGGCCTGTACACGTGCCCGGAGGTCCTACACGCGCAGTCGGCGGCGTCACCGTGGAGATGGTGAGGAGGACCGGCTTCATGAGGGGTACCGACGGGCGCGGAAAACTCTGAAGCTGGCCATTAGCCGCGCCAAAGAAGAAAAGAGACAGGAGATGCTGGAGGGTCTTAATCGTGACCCCTGGGGTCGCCCTTACCGCGCGGTGCGACAAAAGCTCCGCGCGTCGGGCCCCCCCCTTACGGAGACTCTCCAGCCCAGCTTCCTGCGAGAAGTGGTTGAGGGCCTTTTCCCACAACGGGCGGAACACACTCCCCCGTCGATGGCCTCCCTGGCCGGAGACGACGGGGAGCACGGGGAAGATAATGTTCCGCCCGTCCGGGATTCGGAGGTAGGGGCGGCTGTTCTACGGATCCGTTCCAAGAACACCGCCCCTGGGCCAGACGGGGTACCGGCCCGAGTGCTGGCCCTGGCCCTCAACCACATGGCAGACCGCCTCGGGGAGGTGTTCGACGCTAGCTTGGCGTCGGGACGCTTCCCTGAGTGCTGGAAAAGCGGGCAGCTGGTCCTATTGAGGAAGCCGGGACGGCCAGCCGATTCGGTCGCGGCCTATAGGCCTATCGTGCTGCTGGACGAGGCGGGCAAATTGTTTGAGAGGGTTCTTTCTGCCCGCATCGTCCGGCACCTCTGCGAGGTGGGCCCCGATCTGTCGGACGCCCAATTTGGTTTTCGGGCGGGGCGTTCGACAGTCGACGCCGTGTTGCGCCTGAGGGCCGTGACCGAAGAGGCCGTGAGCTGTGGCGGCGTGCTGTTGGCGGTGTCATTAGACATCGCCAACGCATTCAATAGTCTGCCATTCAGCTGCATCAGGGAAGCACTCCACTATCATGGGGTGCCAAAGTACCTGAGGCGGCTAGTGGCAGACTATTTAGAGGAGCGTACCGTCGTGTACGAGGACCGAGTAGGTAATCTGAGGTGTCGGCCCATGTCGTGCGGTGTTCCACAGGGGTCTGTTCTTGGACCCCTCTTGTGGAACATAGGGTACGACTGGGCCCTTCGCGCCGATTTCCCCCCCGGGCTGGGTGTAATCTGTTACGCAGACGATACCCTGGTGACAGCCCGGGGGGCAAACTTCCAAGAGGCGGCGCGCCTAGCCACAGGGGGAGTCTCCCTGGTGGTCGGGCGCATTGAGGCGCTGGGCTTACGGGTGGCCCTAGATAAGACGGAGGCCCTGTTATTTCATGGGCCCCGTCGTGGTCCACCCCCTGGTGCCTCAATCGTGGTCAACTCGGTCCTCGTACTGGTTCGGGCCCAGATGAAATATCTGGGCCTGATCCTCGACGGGAGGTGGCTCTTCGACGAGCACTTCCGACAGCTTGCTCCAAAGCTGGTCGGCGCTGCGTCTGCCCTAGGGCGACTCTTGCCCAATATGGGTGGACCCAGCGTCGCGACAAGACGGCTGTACACGGGGGTTGTCTGGTCAATGGCACTGTACGGTGCACCGGTGTGGGCGGCGGCTCTGACCGCCCAGAATAGGGTACGCCTCTGGCGCCCTCAGAGGGTAATGGCGGTCATAGCCATACGCGGTTACCGCACCGTTTCTACGGAGGTGGCATGCGCGTTGGCCGGAACTCCCCCGTGGGATTTGGAGGCGGAAGTGCTCGCCGAAGTTTATCGGCGAGTGGCTGACTCCCGGGCGGAGAGCGGATTTCGCCCTCCGCCCGAGGATGTGCGCGAGTGGCGCGAAGCCGCTCGCCGAGCCACGATGGCTCGTTGGTCGTTCCGGCTGGAGACTCCACGCGCTGGCTTCGCCGCCGTGGAGGCTCTCCAGCCGGTCATCGCCGAGTGGGCAGGGCGGCAGCACGGGACCCTTTCCTTCCGGCTGACGCAGGTGCTTTCCGGGCACGGTTGCTTCGGAAAGTACCTGCACACGGTCGCTAGGAGGGAACTGAGTCCCGCCTGCCACCACTGCGACTGCAGTGAGGACTCGGCCCAGCACACGCTCTCGGTCTGCCCCGCATGGGCGGCGCAGCGCCGGGCCCTCACTGCAGTCATCGGAGTGGATCTCTCGCTACCGGCCGTAGTACGCTCCATGGCCGGTAGCGACAGTTGTTTTACCGCGGTCGCAACCTTCTGCGAGGTAGTAATCTCGCGGAAGGAGGCGGCGGAGAGGGCCCGGGAGGACGACCTCCACTCGGACCCGATCCGCCGCCGGCGAACCGGGCGGCGGAGGCCCGCCTATCACAGCCTCATGCCGCCCTGAGTGTGGCCGCGGGTGGACGGGGTGGGTTTCCCCTCCACCCGCATTAGTTTGGCCAGCCGCGAGGGGGCGGCGTCCGCGTGTGCCGGACGTCGCCTAAAGAGAGGAAAACAAAATATTGAGACGGAGCCCGCACCAGGAGCGGGCTGGCGCTAGGAGGGGTCCGGATGTCTTAACAACAGCTGTTCCCGGATCCCTCCTGTTACAGGCGCAGAGTGGCACACCGTGTGGTTTTAGTCGGTCCGAGTCCGACACACCACCCCGCCGCAAACCCCGGAGGGGTGACGGTCCGAGGGGATTTCCACAAGTTAAAAAAAAAAAAAAAAAGGGTTTGTTTCAAGTTCTCGTTCTCTTTGCAGTGCGGTTGTCCTGCGTAGTTTGCTCCCTTGGTCGACCCACAGGATGAATAGGAGTGACACTCGGCCTTCTTAATCTGTCACCACACGGGTACTATAATACCCTTATCCCAAAGTTTTAACTCGCCTTACTAAAATCTTAATCTTATATAAAGCCCATTCATATACATATTTATAAAGAACCGTCTACGTATGGGCTGACTCGAAAGGAGTGATGCCACGGTCTCTCAGAAAATCTATGACCGGAGGCCCAACTCCCATAACCGCGAAAGCTAGGGAAGTACTTAATTGTGACTCGTCTACTTGTTTGGCAAGGGTTCACATTTTTTAATGTATTACGCTAAGTATTATATAAAGAAATTTAATACCTTTATTAACCCCTAGTACAGTCGATATAACAGTGGCGATTCTATGTTCTCACTCTCACCATCAAACTTATTAATGAAATCCAACAACCTTTTAGAAAGGGTAACTGCGATAGTTAATACGAGTATAGTTTGTCCTACCAACATAAACCAAAAGAAACTGAGACAAAGTGAACTTTGAAATTTGAACATTCCACCCTAACCAACCCTTAACTTTATAATTATGATCTTCGCACTGACATATTTTACGTTATGGAATTAGTTACAAGATAAATTACTTACCGTGACTATTATCTTGTATGATCTTTTATATTGTAAATTAAACTTCAGTACACTAAACTCTACTTATAAAATGTTTTGACTTATTAAACTGTTAAAAAAATGGTAAAATACAAATACATTATGAAAGTAATAACTACAGACCTTTTTTTTATTTAATTACATATAGCCAATAACTGGGACATAATTATAAAAGGGTTATTATTAATATAATTTTTTGACTTAATCAGGTAGGTATATTATTAAGCCTGCAATATTAATAATCATAAAGGTCTCTTATTTCAGCATTTATTAGGTGTTTGAATGCACGGTTGTCAATAACTTTGCGAGGAAAAGCAAGTTTATATTTTAGTTAAAACTCAAACGAATTCATTTATAGTTCTTTATTTTAACCTATATATCACTATAATTAGTTAATTTACAATCTTTAACTTACAAATAAATAATATAAAAATAACGTTACAACTACTTTTTTTGCCTTTGAAGACAAAAACAACAATCTAGAAGCGTCCAAAAGAAAAATCACAATATAACATTTTGGAATCTTGCAACCAATCAATAAATTCGCTACATCTGCCAATTCGCTACCTCAACTTATTTTACATACATACGACATTGACTTAAATAATTTAATTTTATTAATGAATATAGTGTTAAATTAATGTTTGGTTTAGTAAACAGCTGCATTGCTTCCGTATGTACGATTAGTGATGAATGATATTATCGATGGTAATTTTTCGAGAAGACGAAGTAACGCGGTGTTCAAATGATACATTAAAGTAAACAAGTGCATGACGTGGTTGGCGAATCAAGTCATAGTGCTATTGAATCGCGTTGCTTGGAGGCACCTCGTTAGAGCAGGAGCTCTGAAAAATAAACGCATGCATTGAGAGACAATTTGCAGAATAGGTGAACTTCAAACAGACTTATGTTTACGAATGTGTTTCCTTCTATTTGTTATAGACGCTGGCAACCTAAGAGTTTATTACCTATTAACTTGGTTTAAAGGTACATCGAGTGTTTATAGCTTTTGAAATAGCATCAATAATATTTATAGAAATTCTGAGATATGGTTCAATATCTGGACTTTTTTTTTATTTGATGAGAATGCAGGCTAAGACCTCGGTACATCTTTATGTATACGGTTCAGGCAAACGAAATAATTTTGTTAAATCTATTTCATGAACATCAAAACGCATCTGTTACCATTACTGTTATTTTATTGTATTTTCAATTTAAATTTAAATTATTATTTGCTTTAAATGGGGTAGTACATAATGTGGTAGTGGTGGTTGTATTTATATATTTTAATTACCTGGTCCAACGGCACCGCTGTTCTCGATCATGTAGACAAATGCCGTGTCGTTCGTAACACTCGTTGAAGCCACTTACACATGTATTTTGTGACTTTGTTCGCCGCCGTGTCGTATGAACCTGTAATGTTCAAATAAAAGTATGAATCAGAGACATAATATTTTATTATTAGGTGCTTCGGGCACAAGGGAGGTATTCGTAATCGACTAGGAAAAACACATGTAAGGATTTGGCATAGATCTTTTGGTGGGACAGTTTAGTCTAGAAAAAAATGAGGGTCCTCAGATAGAGTAGTAGGTAGATAGAGTAGTAGTAGTAGGTAGATAACTAAAAATTTATATTAGAATTCTGTTGGACGTTGACTAAGCTTTATAAGTAGACAAGTCAAATTAGAATATAAGGAATAAAGGGCATATAAAACTATATGCCACGGTTAGATTGGCTCTAGGCTACATACGCCACTGGGTACTGGCATGATTGTATCGCAAAGCTTAAAGGTATAATAATTACTATTGTGTGCAAATAAGATATAAATACAGAGTTTACAGACTGCTCATAATGCAGCGCATTTTAATAGGTTGGTGAAAATAGAAATTAATCTAATAGAATCAGTTACTGGTGTCCAGGGCTACTTCTGATATCGTTGCAAAGTTTAGGTACGTTTATTTAGTTTTAAAGAACCTACCAACTCTACTACATTGTAATTTATAATAGTAAGTGGGTTTGTGCTATTGTTTTTTTTTAATATTTTGATGTTAATTTAATTGAAAAAAAAATGGTCAACTTCAAATATGAATTCTATATTATACAGAATATATTTATATGTTAAATAGTTTTCGCAAAAAGTTATAGATCGAAATTCAAAGTATAAACCGTGAAGTCAGAACAACTCTATAATTGTATGGTGATTTTTTTCATAATTTTTATTATGTAGTAACGTACTCATATTTTAGTTTAAATCTTACTTTGCAAGTGCAGCCCTGTTTGTAGAGAAGTCGGAATCCCTTTCTTTGGCGAGGAGTGACGTCACGCCATCTGCTGATATAACCGCACAGATGCACATGAGCTTCTAAGTGCACTACTCGACCTGTAATATGAAAAGGAAATTTAATTTATTTTTTTCAAAAACATTGTAAATAAAAATTACTAGCCGACTGGGGATTGGGTGACTTTATCATATCTACAGATGGTCATACATCACATAGTTTGATAAAATCTAGTTTGTGGGGGCAATAATTTTGCAGACCCATTTTCTTTTATTTTATCATTACTAAAGTCACGAGTGTGCGTAATTCGGGTAAAAATAGACAGGACGAGTGCGTTGGGCGTAATATCTGATGCCTTGACCTTTGACTCGTCATTACATAAAACAAGAATTTCTTAAGTGTCCAAAATTCAAAGCTGGAAATATACTCCATAAGTTTCCTAACAGAATACAAGAATAAGAGCAGAGATCTGACCTCTTTCAGCAATTTACGTGTAACGTAGAGTGATCAATTTTTTTGTAGTTGAGGTAAGTAAAAATATGGTATACTTAAATTATCTCAGCTTAGATAGGTAGTGATTGTAGGTACAGTAGCATCGCTTAAATGGTTAATGATGTAGGCTTGATACCTGTAATAACGTAGGTTTCCCTTGGCTGCAGTTTCACGCCACATAGTGACTCCTGGGACGGTGTTAATAATCGACCGGATTTTAGCGCTACCTCCGCTTTTGGCGTCGCCTGTAACACAGTAATGGTATGATTAAACTCACTCACTCTTGCTCCGAGTCTTTTACCTAAACTAGATTGGGGTTCGCTTAAAGTCTACTATACCTAACTAACTTTTGATCCTCGATTTTTTAAGCGGAGCGACTGGCATTAGACCTGCACAACCCAAGTAGGCGAAATCGAAATTCTGCAGAAATACTGTTGTCGTACTTTTCAGAGCTCCAACTACCCGTAACGATCGCCACTAATGTTCGTATGGCAACAGGGTCCTGGTCCATCCATAGACTGACCGAGCTAGGATTGCTTACATTTGCAATGTGTTAATCTACTCGATTACCACTTAGCCACGATCCCCTCGAGTGTGATTAAACTCATGTTACTCACAAAAGTTAATTGAGTGATGTAAATTTAATGACGGTATTACATTTATAGAAATATATATAGTTTTAAATAAACTTTCGTTACTTACTTTATACTTGCTTCGAATCTTCACTTTGTATGAATCGTAAAAGTCTTTGCCTCGAAATGTTTTTTGCACCCTCCCAACGATTACTGCAATGAACAAAAGAAATTATAATTAATGTACATAATGTATTTTTAATATAACAAGTAAACGACCGTGCTGCAGTGATTAGAATCAAAACATTCGTGATTCACATTCTTTAACAAAAGTCCTTCAACACTTCTTGAAAAAAGGCACGTATTGGATCTGAAACTAGTGGGGCGTCCCCTAAACACATGCTGTGACTAATTCCGTGTATCTTTAATAACCGGGCAGTGCTGTAATCTTATAATAATACAACGAGGATTTATTATTAGCCAGTAGATTATAATCTTGATGAACAACATTTTCCCTGTAATTTTCCTTTTGAACAGTAAATCTCTTTATAATAAATGTGCTGTAAGTACTAAATCCTCTTTTGTTGGTAGATTAAAGGCTTTTAAGTAAAGTAATTGAAAAGTATTTTACCAAAATCGCTGCTACAAAAGTGTGTTTGTGGGTGTGCTGGTGCGCACGAACAGGCGTCTGTGGGGCGATAACAAACCGCCACCAGCGCCAGCGTTAACCACCTCGTCAGCATGCTATATTTGATGATCTGCAACAACAATACAACACTTGTAGGAGTATAACTAATGATCACATCATAAATTTCGTCCAATTTGTACATGAAAACATTAATGTTAGCTTTAATATTTTTACAGTATAGGCGTATACTTAATGCCTTCTATCAACAGCACTGTAACAGTCCATTGTCTTTAAGCAAAGAAATAAAATGATACATATCGTCAAATTGACAATAACAGGACAGTTACAATAGGACAGTTTAAGTTTGGTACGATTCATGATCATTTGTTTGGTGTGGCAGGGCTATCTGTGGTACAATCACAATGCCGAATTTGTGGTAAGGAAACATTTTATGTCGAAGAAGTTTAATGAGACATAACCCGAAGTTTACTTTTACTACACACTTGGAGGTTTTGAATGTTCAATATGCAAATAATAATACTTCCACTTTTTTAGGGTTTATATTTAGCTGGTTTATTTCTGTCTCGTATTTATTTTCATTACATTTCAATTATTAATAGAATAAACTAAGCCAACACGTAATCAAACTTGTACCTATACCTATAAATTTTACTAAATTATAAATATAAATAGCTTTTTGTTACATTTATATGAAATATATATATATTATTCGCCGATAAACCAATTGATTAAATAGAATTTTGTTTATAAAGGCAAATTGATCTAATCTTGCAAGTAATATAAGACATTACACTTTAAATTAATTACGTTTGCCAGGGAGCCAATCAATTTCTATCACAAGCGCTGTGAGGCGGGAACATGTTACAGATAATTTATTGGCTTAACCACCTCTGGACTACCACGAGGTGATGATTGTGACCTACATTTCGTTCTAGCTTTGTTTTATTCCATTTGTACTTTGTTGTTCTATAAGACGGCTATAAATTTTTATTGCCGTTCTTCTATGTTTTGCGTTCACGAGTATTAAACGTTGTCGTCGCGCCGCCGCTGTAATAACACCACGTTTATTATTGCTTTGTATGAAGTTAGTTAAAGTTTATCTGACGTCCTGTAGAATTTGTCTATGCTTATGCATCTTATTTCAAAAGCACTTCATTTATAAATTGTTGACATTAATCTGTTTTAGATTCGTTATCTCACGGGTTCTTAATTCTCATAAGAGGATTAACTGCATCTCAATGCATTTAATATGTTTCACGTAAAATCAGCTTACAAAGGTCAGTAAAGGAATTCTTTGGACATAGTGAAGCAAAACATATTATTAACATAAAACACAATTGGTTTCATAAAATAATAAATCACTTAATTCAAAATGTTCCTTTTTGAAGCTCTTTATTGAAGTATGAGAGTATTTATTTAAGATAATAATGATTTAATAAGGACCATAACGCGTTATTAGAGGCTTAGCTGGGAACAATAAGCCTGTTATTACGAGCTTCGCGTGGGAGGCAGGCTCGTCTACTCAAAGCGCCTAAGTTGATTGTTTTCACTTCACAGAATCTAAATTTAACAAAATAAAATCTCACCTATAAAGTTAAATACAAATTAAATGTTTTAAGAAATGTTAATTGATCCATAAAAATGACAAGTATGATTTATGTGAATAATTCGTTTTTTAAATTACATGGTTATAAAATATTTAAAAAGTTTGACTATGTGATTAAATAGAAAATTTATTGAGTCAATCAAGTCATGCCATGCCCTGTTAATTATAAAGTATATTAAAATGAAATATAGTTTTGTTTTTATTTCGATACCATTTCTAAGTAACCTATTAAATATTTACGTACTGCTGAAAATCCACTTAAGGATCTACTATTTTTTTATCTTTACTAGAACATGTTTTCCTAATAGTTTAAATCTTTTTGAAAACTCTTGTTTTATTCATTATTGTTCACGGCGACAGTTTTGCCCGCTACTAGTTAGGTTTTTTGTAATTTTAAGAAACAATTATGAACAGTCGCTCACATTGGGTATTAATTTAAACATTTATAGCGCATATGATTTATTCAAGTATTTATTGGTTGCTTTTAATCTTACTCAAAATCAGTTGAGAAACAGCGGTCATTAAACATTTATACATTAATAAAGTATGTAATTAAATTACAAGAACTGATCTTGATCGTGTTTAGAACGTTTGCTTATTTGTTGTGGTATTATAATAACTTCTAGAATTTATACGAATATTATTCAAATTTTAGGAAATACGCTGTAACATACTCACATAGTTTACGCGAGAACAAAATCACATTGCACACTGCGCACAGTTCTGTAGTATCTTAATGATTGCGCATATTCACTGAGAGCGTACCTTTTGTACCCCTACGATGAGTGCGGCATAATTCCGCGCTCTATACAGATTTCGGATAAAAATCACAATGCGGAAATTTTATGAGTGCATTCCCATAGTCGCACCCGTGATTCCGTCCGCCCGGTCCGGTGCAACAATGCCTCATTTGTCAGGGTTCGTCGAGAAACCTGAGGTGAATGTTGACATTATTTGTTTATACATGTACCAGCATCTATCATATAGTATGCTGTGAGCACGTTTGTTAAAGCACCCAAATCACATTATACGCGTTTTTATTGCGTTGTTGCTACCGTTTACCTTTTATTGATAACTAGTTTTTTTCACATTTATTGTTTTTCTTATCCCGAGGTAAAAGCCAAAAGTTTTATCGCTTGAGGTGTTAAGGTGTTCCCGCTTGGACCTGGAACTGGCTGCAAGTTGAGGTGGTGCTGACGTGAATCAATATTGTCACTTTTTTAACAGTAGCGTGTACCATAAAATGTGATTGCACAATTGAAGTAAATAATAAAATTTGAATATTAAAACATAACTTAACATGAAACCCTAGTTTCTATAACACAGTTTTTTTTAAAGGTCTACCAGCAACCGAAATTACTGGTATTCCCGTTAACCCCTACCGCTAAGCTAAATTGCTTGTGTTAGGAGTGGGTTCACGTCGGTAGTGTACTGGTCAGAATTCGAACCCACGACCTCTTGATCGCAAATTCAATGCCTTACCCACTAGGCTACCGCCGCTTTTATTTATTGGATATGTCTTTGTCACTACCTGCATGAAGTACTTTCGTATTAACGATCCAAATGATTAAATACTTATTTTAGTAATTGAATTGTAAGATAAAAAGTTTTAATATTCATTAATTATTATTAAATTAAAATACCCCTAGAAACAGCATTGTAAAAGATATTTTTTAGCGACCCATTTTTATTCTTTTTTGGGCGTTTTATCTTAAAACTCAATAGATCAAAGTCAGAGAATACTTGCGCCACCGTCTTTTGAAATTGCTTACTACATTTTACAAATGTTTATTACTCAGATAACGACTGTTCTCTACTAAGCCTATTCTATTAGCGAAAGTCACACTATTGCTTTGTTTGGTTTAATGTCAGAATGGGCTGACCATGGTCATAATGTCTGTATGAATCTAAAGAACCAAACCAAAGCTTAATAGGATATCTATATAAATTTAATAAATTTATTTATTTTCAGACATTAGTCCATAGATATGTTAGTAACAGTAATCTTACAACTATGTTAGTTCTACATTAACACAAAACAAATTAAAAAATAAATCGTGGGGATGCGCTAGCATGCAGAGGCATCCACCTTTTTAGGATTGGAAGATCCCACCTCTCGGACAATATCTCGGATATATGTCTAATGGTATTTAGTATGAACATAAATAAAAAGATTTCCTTATAGCTATAGACTATAGATACACGCGTGACTGCTGATCGCTGTTGGGTTCAATACTCCGGTCGGCTAAAGGTTACTAAGAACTGTTTACTTAGTTTATGCCTCAAAATGAAAGTAAATGGTCACATATGCATTTAGTGTTCAAACATTTTCATGTTAATAACACAACTGAGTTAAACAACTATTCTTAAAGTGATTTACAAAGTGAAAACACGTTGTCGGGTCTGTAAAATTGGGATTCCCTCGATTGCTCCAGGATCCATTTATCTAATTCTGATTTGGTGATTATGGGAATACTTCGGGAGCATACCCTTTCGATTACAAAAAGAATTTTGAAAATCGGTCCACATTTCGACGGAAACATCGCGTAACAAACATACAAAAACATACAGACGAATTAAAAACCTCCTCTTTTGTGTTTTTAAAGTCGGTTAAAAAGTCGCTTTAACTTTAAAGCTCTTTATAGGCATACCTTAGAGAAAAACATCGAAAGTAAATAGAAGCAACCATGTTTGTCCACAGCTTTAATGCCAAAAAAAAACAAAAAAATTGTATCGTAGCTTTTTATTAATACGAGTATATGTATCACATAGGTATAATGATTAAGTGATATCTGTGTTTTAGAAAGGACTTCTTTTACTTTCAATTTTTATATTTTTATATTCTTTCATTTCAATTATTATATGTGACTCAGTTCACTCGATGCATTGGTGACGAGTGAAGGCTACTTAATATGTCATAATGATGCCTTTAAGTGCTTACGCTTTATAAAAAAATAGTTTGTAGTGATTGGCACAGAAACTTGAGTTAAGAGGCAAAAAAAGGCATGAATTCAGACGTGAAAGGAAAATCATGTAGGTTTATGATATTTATCTGTAATATGTAGGTTTATGAGCTTGTGAACTATATTCATATACATATGACTATATTCTATACTAATTAATAAAAAGCTAAAATTTGTGAGATTTTGTTGGGAGTAATCTCAGAAACTAATGGTTGGATTCGAAAAATTATTTTAGTGTTAGATAGCCCCGGATTTATTGAGGACGGAAACAGGCCGAGTATCAATGAAAACTGTTGCGAAAATGGGGAAAATTTATTCCTGTTGAAAGAAATAGACGAAGTTGCCAGCTTGGCAGTTGCAGCAGCCAGTTGGTCAGCTAGTATTATATAATATAATTTACCCACTGTTGTAAGAAATCTTATCTTTAAAAGAAATAGCACATATAACATTACTATTTTTAATTTTCCATAAAATGAGGAAGTTTTTGAACAGCAACAAATGAAATCCATTGTCCAAGTACCATGGTGACCAAACTGTAAACATACCCACATATTAAAATTAAATTAATTAATATTTATTTATCCTAATTAAGTATTAAACTTTCGACCTCTG